TGCGGTTGGGGAAAAATGGACCCACAACCGCCCGCGATGCGGTTCGCGGTTTGTGCGAGTGGGTGCATGTTTTTTTTTTATTTTTTATTTTTTAAACTTAAGCAAATTTGACATTTTTTGTTACTTTCTAAACACTTTTTTTTTTTTTTTTAGAAGAGTTATAAATTAAATTACAAGATATACAATTCATGATCATAATAAATAGTCCACATGTTAGATAAGATGATATGGAACCATGCTTGAGGATAGTAATTTAGTGTCGACCTTTGTTATTCTTGGTGTCGACCCTTCCTGCTCGATTGTGTTCTAAAATTTAGTGTTGACCCTTATTGTTCTTGGTGTCGACCCTTGCTGCTGGGGGCTGCTCGCGGGTCGAGAAAAAAAAAAAAAAAAAAAAAAAGAAAAAAAAAAGAGAGAAGAGAGGTTCAAGTGAGGCCGCAATAGAGATTGGAGGTAGCATGTTGGGTGATTTTGGGACACCCATTAGTTGAGGTAAAATCTGCTTTTACTGTTGATTATTAAGTTTATGTTGAGGAATTAAACAATCAATGCATTAAGGGGATTTAGAAGATCTATAGGTGCCTACTTAGGTTTTGAGAATTGGGTGCAATGTGTAAGTGTAACTTTGGGTGGGTAATAGAAATAGTGGAGTTTTGTGTTGTGGATAAGGGTGTGTTTGGTTATAAAGTTGGGTTGAAGGGTTTGATTACTTGGATATTAAAGCAATACGTTAATCTAATATGGTGGGGCTTTTGTGGGTGCATGTAACACGTAAAAATATTAATTTATTTGAGGTTTTATTTATTAGGTTTGTGTGATTGAAGTGGCGGAGCTGGGTGTTTGGAATTGGTGTTGGAATATTATTTCTAAGCGTTTGATGTAAGTAACCCTCTATCACTGTTGGTTCATTTTTATTCCTATTGAATCGTTTAAAATCATAAATATAGCCTTCATGTTCTCTTAAAATAAAATATGGGTCAAGTATAAAACAGCATCGAATATTATTATGAAAATTATTTGAATATTTTATGGAACTATTATGAAAATTGTACTAAATGTTTTTTTTGAAAATATCGAATATTTTATTTAAAAGTTGTGTATTGTTTAAATTTTGAACATCACTCTAGTCTGACTAGGGCTGCTCGCGGGTCGGTTTTGGCCGGGTGCGGGTCAAAACCGACCCGACCCGCACTTATGCGGTTGGGGAAAAATGGACCTGCAACCGCCCGCGATGCGGTTCGCGGTTTGTGCGGGCGGGTGCGGTTCGGTTTGCGGTTTAGTGTTTTTTTTATTTTTTTTAAAACTTAAGTAAATTTGACATTTTTTGTTACTTTCTAAACATTTTTTTTTAGAAGAGTTATAAATTAAATTACAAGATATACAATTCATGATCATAATAAATAGTCCACATGTTAGATAAGATGATACGGAACCATGCTTGAGGATAGTAATTTAGTGTCGACCTTTGTTATTCTTGGTGTCGACCCTTCCTACTCGATTGTGTTCTAAAATTTAGTGTTGACCCTTATTGTTCTTGGTGTCGACCCTTGCTGCTGGCTTGTGTTTTGAAATTTAGTGTCGACCCTTGCTGCTAGAACACTTAGGCATTTTGAGCTTCACTCTGGTGTCAACCCTTGCTATTTTGGTGTCGACCCTTGGACTGTTTTAAGTATAAATAGTGTTTTGCATGCATGTGCTAATTACATGTTTTGAGGGGCTAAAAACCATTGGAAAATAACACTATTGAAGCATATATCTTTTAGAAACATTGAAGCACAATTGCATAATATAATTTTGAATAAAATAAGTTCAAAATATTTGTCAATAATCAAAATAAATAAGAATTTAAATTTGAATAACCTTGGGGCTAACAATTTCAAAAGTGATATCAACGATGCCAGTTCAAAAGAAAAGGAAAAAAAAAAAACAATGAATATGAAACGAAATGCCATGCAATAAATGTCTATATTAATGCCTTGGACTTTCTCAAATTTTCTCATTTTATCCACACAATTTTCTATTGTGATCAAGTTCCACATCTCTACTCAATATATATATATATATATATTATATTCCAAGAGATGGATAAAAACACATCATCAAATACATTTCCTTTCTCTTTAAATCAAAGAAATCTCAGCGTGAAAATCATCATTTCTAATCTTCATTTGTTCGAGATAAGTATGACAACCTACTGTTCACTATTTTCTCAATATTAATTTCTCTCTTACAAGTGATTTCAATAATAGGGATAAATATAACAATTTCCTCATCATTTCTCAAAAATGAATCTCAACAATTCATGATTTCAAAAAATCCCAACTTTTTCCTAAATTTCCAAAATCTAGGTTTTCACAAAAGAAAAAAAAAATAGAGTTTCTCTTTTTGACCCAACTATCACACAACTCATATTTTACATTGATACAACTTTTTCCTCAACTTCCTCACGCCTACGGTTTTCACAAAATTAGTGTTTCCTCATTTGTAAAAAATGTTTTTGCTCGTCAACTTCCAAAACACTCTCATAGTTCATAAATTAAAAGATTTGAGAAAACCCCTCTTGAAGCAAAACACAACTCCATAAAAATCAAACCCTAACTCAACACACTCCAAACAAAATCAAAATAACTATAGACTTGCAAAAAAGTAATATAAACTCTAAGAAAAATCCTTACCTCAAGATTTGGAGAAGGAAGATGGGAAAACCCTCAAAATCAACGGTGTCGAAGCCCGATCTCCACCACACAAAATGTAGCCCTTGGTGAGCTCTCTAATTTTGATGAAAGAATTTGGTTCAAAACTCCAATGAATTTGAAGAAATCAAGGATTTATGGTGGTGGATGGGTGTTTGTAGAGAGAAGGGAGAGGAAATATGTTTTTAGAGAGAGAGAGAGAGATGAGAGGAAATGAGATACACTCAACCCAAGGAGAACAAAAGCAAAGAAAATTCGGACTCAGTGTTTCCCTCATGTGCACTCCTTTCGTTGCACTTGCAGAGTGTGCCCTCTCGCACGTGCAGCACCCAACCCCACACGTGTCGTTATTTCAATCTTCAACCATCAGAAACTCCCCCCTCATTGCACGTGCGGCTCACCCTCCTACACGTGCAGTTCTAGCCCCCACATGTGCAGTTTTGCTCCAGCACTAGATTTTGCATGATCAAGAAGGTGCTACCAACTCCGACTTCAATTACGCCATTGAAATAAGAAACTCAACTCCAGAAACAAAAATGAAGATACAATTCAAGAAAGACTTCAAGAGTGATGAACTTAAATGGCCGACAAGATCTTGAATTAGTTTTCCAACATCCCACACAAGAAAATAAACACAATGTGAGAAGAATAAGACGGTCTACGTACTCAGACATTTTTGAACTGTATATCCCCCATATGGGCGACTATTGAGTTGCATAGAGGGTCAAATATAAAGTGGAGCGATTAAGGAAAGTCTAGATTAGGAAAAATTATCACATAGGTCTGTGTCATATCCTTTGTGGTATGCCCTTGCAATTTCCTATTGGTTATATATCCATTGTTTTTTTTTTTTCTCCTATATATTACATAATGCAACCAATAGAATTGGAATGGCACATAGCTTCCGACTTCGATTATGCCATTGAAATAAGAAACTCAACTCCATAAACAAAAATGGAGACGCAATTTTGAGAAAGACTTCAAGAGTGATGAACTTAAATGGCCAACAAGATCTCGAATTAGTTTTCTGACATCCCACACAAGAAAATAAACACAATGTGAGAAGAATAAGATGGTCTACGTATGCAGACATTTTTGAATTGTATATCCCCCATATGGGGGATTATTGAGTTGCATAGAGGGTCAAATATAAAATGGAGGGATTAAGGAAAGTCTAGATTAGGAAAAATTATCACATATGTCTGTGTCATATTCTTCGTGGTATGCCCTTGCAATTTCCTATTGGTTGTATATCCATTGTTTCTTTTCTTTTTTTTTTTCTCCTAAATATTACATAATGCAACCAATAGAATTGGAAGGGCACATAGCTTAGTTAGAATTTCTGGAAGACGGGATAATTCCTCCTAGATTAGGGATTAAAATAGTAAAATAATTATTACACCATTTAGTTAGTGTCTAGTGATTCTAAATAAACACGGAATATGATAGGATTTTACCAATCTTGCTCCTAATTCAAAGACATTCTACACGTGGGATATGATACATAATCTTAGGCCATATTTGTTTGGCTGGACATGACCATGGGATTGGATTAATAATCTAACAAAATGCATGATCTAATGTTTGGATAAGAAAATAGTCCATCTAGACATAGTATCCCTCATATGAGGGGCTAGAATCCCGAGGGAGGGTGGGGGAAATATAAAATGGAATAAGGAAAGGTTTGGACTAATTAGTTAAATTGCGAAATTGATGTGATTTTATCAATCCCTTCCCATAATCTTGTGTCAAGCCAAACATGGGATATGATATACACAATCCAAAGGGATTGATAATCTAAGGACTAACAACCCTAGGAATGCTAATCTCATTTAATCCAACCCTGTCCAAACAAACATGATAATCCCAAAATTAATAGTCCCATATAATCCAGTCCAATGAAACAACCATACAATCCGGTCCTATGAAACAAATAAAAGCACTGAAATTCTATTCCTACAATTTAATTCTAGTATAAATTAGTTAAACTAAACTGATAGCTGATATGCACAGGCAAATGTGATAATATTGTATGAATGATGCAATTTGAATCTAGGAAAGCACTTTATCATACATTTTGTGGGTTCTAAATTAATTGTATTGCATGCCCTTTTGTTTGGATTGTTTGTCAGTTCTTGGAATAGCCAACTTTTTAACAGAATGATACAAGCACTAGTCAACATGAATAGAGTAGAATTTGAAACTAGAATAGAATTTGAGAGAAGTTTTGATGAAGATGATTAACTACTAGGAGATTCAACATGAATTGTTCACAAAATCAACACACAATTGAAATAAATAAGAATAAAATATCAAATTACACTGTTACATAAAATGTGCTTAAAGTGATTTCCTATTTGCTTCCCTATACACCCAAAGCATATAAATGGCAACTTTTGTTGTCCCTAAAAAATCAATTACTTTACAATTGATTCTTGCCCACTCTTTTTTTTTTTTTTTGCTCGTGAGGCTGTGAACGCTTGGCTGCCACTTGCCCACTTTATTATCTACCATTGAAGTAGACGGGAAAAAAAAAAAAAGACAAAAAAAATACGAGTGAGGAAATAATCACACTTTCTAGTCTTCAATTTTACATAAGTGCTGCATACAGGAGCTGGTTCCAAGTATCAGGCAGTCCGGGGAGGCACCAGTGGCTGCAGTCGGTGCCAGAGTGGTCGCCGCTATAAGCTGACGGGTGAGCATCTTTTCTCAACTGTGAAAGTGTTGTGATGTCTAGAAGATAGACTGGTTTCTTGACTCTGCTCAACACTTTGTTGACAACAATGGCAGCCGGAGGTATGCCAGCCGGGTAAGTCGAGCCAGTGAATGGTAAGTGCTCTCCCATGCAGTTCTTTGATCCTGACTTCCATTCTTTTCCCCTGTTTTTTTTCATTGACAATAGGTTTTGATTGTTAACTGCTTAGCACAGGACCAGATTTGTAGTGTGTGGAGTGTTGTGAAATTCAAGTCTGAATCATGATGACTAGAGTGAAATGCAGGTCAATATGAGTGGCCAACAAGTTTTGAACCTCTAGACTATTGAGAATCTCATTATTAGCAATAAAATTTTTGTGGCAATGTTATTCAAGCATTTAGTTTCGTTAGGAATTATCAGTGGAAAATTAATAAAAATTTACATATTGTGAGCCAATTATTAATTTTTACTCTTAAATTAATATTTTCTCTTGGAACATTAGATTCCTATGGGAAAGTGGGGAAATTGTACTCCTATTTAGTTTAAGAATGTGATTCTTGCTGAAATAGATAATCATGAATTACTTTTCTATTCTAATCTACTCAAAAAACTAGAATCACGGACACCCGAAATCATATTCTCATTCCCTCTCAAAATTCCTATTATTCAAACTTAGCTATGATTAATTACAATAATGCTATAATCATATAAACTTTTCACAAGATCACATTCAAAATTATACAGTGTTGTTAAACACAAATTTTCACAAGTCTCCATCTAGGATGAATGCAGTGCTTCTAGGGCAACGTTTTGTATACTTGAAAAAGATTGTGTTTGTATTGTTTTTCTTATGGTAGTTCAGAAAATTAAAATTTTATGCTGAGATTAATGCATTAAGAGGTGAATAAATTGAAGTAAGATTGTTCATCAAAATTAAATCCCTCCACAATGAATCATGAGATTTGGAGCAATTTGTTGAAATTAGTTTTACAGGGGAAATTATTTAATAATTTCATAACACTATATGACCATATTCCGAACCAATCACCAATTACTTAGCACCCATGTTGTTTCCCATCCCCAACACAAATTGTGGGCCCATACTCCTCTCTACCAATTAAAATGTTATGGAGTACTGCGTGTCCATATTCCAAAAATACTGAATAATCACCCGTTTTACAGTTGTGATAAAGTACTTACTGGTAATGGGTTGGAGAAATCCCCTGGAAGAAGACTTTGGTCTTGGAAGGATCAATATCTCGGTCAACCCATCTACCCCAAGTTGTCAACCCTTTATAAAATGCCATCAGACGGTCCATATCTTTCAACATGGCTGACCCATCTTGCACATAGTCCCATCTGCAATCAACAAACAAAACCTAATTAAAGAAAAACCAAAACTCTTTAACTTCAAAAATTAAACTAAAATGAAGAGATGAATCTTACGGTTGAGATTTGCCTTTGTGGGTCCACCAATGCCACGTGTTGAATATCAGCATGTCCATTTGTTTCCATGAATTGCCACCTTGGATGGAGTCAAGTTTCAGTACTCGCCCAACCTTTTCTCTTACGATATCTACCAAGTATGTTGAGTGATATAGGTACAATGTTACTCCATAATCCTGCAAGAGGCAATTCATTTGGTCCATTAGAAATTTGAAAAATGATTCACAATTAAAATTATTATATATAAAAAAAATTCATTCATGATATTTTTAAAATTATGAATTATAATGATTACTAGTATTTTAGTTTAAAATAAAATGAATCACAAAGGGTTTACATCATATATAGACAATTGTTTTTGGCCCATTAACAAATGATAGTAAATAGAATCTTTATACAAAAAATTCATTCATTCAGTATGATGTGTCACTGACATTTTTAAAATTATGAGTCATAATAGTGGGTGTTTTTGTTTGAATAAAAAGAAGGGTAAATTACATTTTATTCTCTTTAAGTTTGGTCACTTTCATACTTTGGCTTTTAAAGTTTGTTTTTTTCTACTTTGGTTTTTCATGTTTCAATTTTTTTTTTAGTTTATTCTTAAAGCTAATTTATGTTCAAAATTAGATAGAAAATATTACGATAATTGTCAGATAACATAAAAAATATATTATTATATTAGAATTTAAGTTTATGTTAGAAATATGACTCATATATAATAAAATATTTTTATACTACGTAACTGCCAATGTGTCATTTTCTGTCTAATTTTTAACAAAAATTAACTTTAGGAGTAAAATAAGAAAAACTTGAAACATATAGGGGAAGTAGGAAAAAATAAATTTTAGGGGCCAAAGTGAAAAGTGAATAAACATAAAGGGGGTAAAGTGTAATTTATCCTAGAAAGAATTACAAAGGGTCACATCATTGTATATGAAAAATCAATTTTTTTTATTTTATTTTTATTTCTTTAAAATTATCTTTAGAATTTTGTGAGAATAAAAAATACAGTTATATATTTAGTCTGGGTATCAAGATGGGGGAGCTTTTAAGCGGTGAGGGCTCCCGGGTGCAATAGATATCATATGGTGGGATTAGAGTTTAGCGTGGCTAAACACTCAATACCTCAGGATGAGCATAAAGTGATACTTTAAGTTTCTCATTTGTCACATAAAAAATAATTAATAAAAGGGTTTAGATTGTCTCCAGTGATGATTTGAACCATTCTATTTTTAGACTACAATGTGTAAATCATCTATGAAAAATTAAGGTCAATCTGATAACTGTAATCACGTTGGTTTATGATATTTATTTGCAAAAAAATGAACGACACTAGACAATCCATTTTTTAGGGAACAAGTATAATAAACTAATTTCATAACAATTATCAAATTGACATAATTTTTATCGTGAAGGATCTACGCATTGTGGTACGCATTGTGGTACGCATTGTGGTTTAAAAAATAAATAATTTGGATTATTGAGGTAGAATCTGTGGTAAGCCGTACAAGTCCAAACATCACAATCCAATTCACAAAGTATACTGAAGACAAATTGGAGGAACCGAGAGGCTTATCACAATCCAATACTTAATAAAAAGTATTGAGCTTCTCTCAAGTTCACATTTTAATTTGAGACAACATGGAGGAACCATGAGGCTCACCATAGGTTTCGTTTTCATGATTCGGATCGTTCATTTTGTAAGGCTTTTCGTATATATTATCCATGAAAAAAATTAGATCGATCTGATAATCGTAACATTTTCATTTTATTGCATCTGTTTTCAAAAAATTTGATAGTCTATTCTAGAAAAAATACTTATTGTCTATTATTTCAGAGACAAATGCAATAAAATGAAAAATGTTACGATTATCGAATTGACTTAATTTTTTTTTTTTTATAGATGATATACCATGAGAGTCCTATAAAATAAATGACTTAAATCATCAAAACAAAACCCATGATAAACCTCACAGACGTTCCAAATTTTCTCAAATTAAAATGTGAGCTTAAAAAAAACCCAACTCAATAAAAAGTATACTATATCATAAGTATACCATATTAATAAAGTCACATGACACGGCTATTATATTAAATGCTTTCTTTTGTTAGGTAAAGAGTGTTAGGATATTGTGATTGGGCTGCAAGACCTTGTCATTACCTTTAGAAATAAATGACCCCAATAATGTTTCTTTATATCAAAGTTATTAGTTGAGAACAAAAACAACGCAAAATGATATAGACTACGTACTTAATCTTATGTTGTCAATTTCTTGATTAAAGCTTGCCAGTTTCTTAGAGGACCCAATCCTTCAACATCTACCTAACACTAAGGAGCTCATTATGCGCACAAATTTAATAAAGCATTAAAGTCTCCATATGGTTCAAGGATTTGTATTTTATTTTAGACCAACAAAATTATTATTATATAGATTTTTCATTGAAATTAAAATGCATTATTAATTTTGAAATATTATTCATATCGGTAAATGACTTTTAAAAGGACATTTTAAATCGTTTTGCTTTAAAAAATGTTATGTATTAAAATTAAAAAATAAAAATAAAAAGTTGCTCAAGTGAAAAGTCTAATATTAGATTTTTCTTATCTAAAGATCCAGCACTGATTTATTATGTCCATAAGGCCAAGTTATTGCAAAATGACTAATCTACGCAAGTATATATATATAATATACAAGCATGAAATGAACCAAACCCAATCCCCTCTGTCTCTCTCTTTTCTGTGATCAGCGGGCTGTATTTGGTTATGTGTTCCAAATACATTTTTACCCACTGATTTGAGTGTGGTGTTTATTTTGAGCTTTCAAATTATAATTCCATACCCACTTTTGCAAACTCTTTTTCAGGCAGAAAAATTTGACTAACCCGGTCATCCTCCCGGACATCTCCCAATGTCCGAGCGGTTGACCAGAACAGTGTTTAGTTTTTTTTTTTTTTTTTTTTTTTTTTTTTTTTTTTGGCACCTGTTATTTTTATATTGTAAATAAAAAATATTTTCAGAATTTTTTAAATTTTTATATGAGCTTTGAATAGAATTTTGAATAGTGCGTTTGGTTATGAATTGTAAATTTTTTAATCAAATAACTTCTCTAATTTCAAAAACCCAAAACTCCCTCCAAAACCCAATTTAAAACTTTTTTTCAAAATTCATAACCAAACAAATTTTCTACGCTCAAATCATAATTGAAAAACTCACAAACTCAAAATACAGCTCTATTATCAAATCATAGAAAACTCTAACCAACGCTACCTTACTCTTTTCTCCGATCACAATTTTCGATCTCCTCCACCATTCTCGTCCCATCTCCGACACATTATCTCTCACTCGCTGTCGCTTGTTATCTTATTCTTTAGATCTTCGGAAGCCCCTACCTTTCAACCAAAACCCCATTATGTTCCCATCATTGCTGCCCACACCTCTCTCCATCGCCCACTGTACTTCACCGCCGTTAGCGACAGCATTTGTGTTGCCATCAACGACTGTCGGATCGAGCTAATTTCAGAGAGAGAGATCCACATTCTCTGATGAAAACCTTAAATCATCGAGAGCTCTGAGAGATCCACCACTAAATCTGAGAGATCTTTGCCTTGAGCAATTCTAATCTATCTACTGCCGCTAAACCATCTTTGAAACCTCGCAGCCCTCCGGTCAGATCTGTTCAAAAAGGCTCGGATCTTGTTTCTCTCTCTCTCTCTCTCTCTCTCTCTCTGTGTGGTTTGTTTTTTAATTTTTTAAAGATTTGAGCTTGGTGTTAGATCTATTTGAATATATGTGTTAGATCTGAATTTTTTTTCTTTTATTTCTTTATTATCTGTTGTTGATAGTTGATTGTTGTTGTTGTTAATAATGATGATGATGATGAAACACATTGCAACAGATAAAGGGAGAGAGAGTCACACACACATAGAGAGAAAGATTTGAACAAAAAAAAAAGATTTGATTGGTTTCGACAGATAAAAAAATTGAATAGATAAAAAAGTGGACAGTTGAAAAGTTGAATAGATAATAAATATTTGAATAGATAAGAGGGGGAATTGAACAGACACTCAAAAAAAATTGAACATATAGTCAAAAAGTTTGAACAAATATATATAAACTTGAACAGATAGTCAAAAACAATCGGCAGATAAATTAAGATTTAGAATTGAAAACAAAATGTCATTCAAAATCAATAAAAGGACTTTTTACTAAACTATTTAACAAAGGGTACACCTCTCACCAATAAAAAATATCTACTGGACTTAATTTCTTAGAGCATCTGGAGCAGCCTACTTATATTTTACCCTAAAATATTATTAAAAAATCCGTTTTCTATTTTAGGAATCACTTTTTCATTTACTTCCCCCAACAAACTCCCTATTCTTTCTCTATTTTATTAAAATAATCTTTTATTCCCCCCAGCAAACAGACTCAAGACAGTGCAAAACATGCCCAAAACATAGTGCAAAATAGACCAACAAAGTAGTAGATTGAAGCAGCCGAAAACAAAGAACGGTGGTCGACCAACCAAGCCGATTTTGGGTATTTTCATTCTCCATCTACAGGCACTCACAGGACATCCGGGAGGATATCCGAGGGGACATACGGGAGAACATCCCCTTCGTGCCTTCAACGAAATAAAAAAAAGAATTTATCAAATATGAGAGAGCTACAGTTGTAGTAACACTTATAGTTGGGGGTTGGATAAGGGATCTGTTGGAAATGGATTTCTGAAGAATTAACCCTTTATAATAGCAAAAAACTATTATAAGGGAGTTACTGTGGATGCTCTTATACATTCTTTAGATTGGATTTATCACAAATTTTCTCTAAAAAAAAATATAAAAAGATATTCATAACTTGAATTTGTGATGTGTATTTAAACTTAGTATGGTGCGATCACAATGAAATAAATTGATTCATATATTTTAAAGGGTCGTACTAATAATAATCTTAAGGAATATTGATAAACATTGAAAAATGTCAAGACATATATGATTTCAATATATTTTTCACATAACTCAAAACATTACATTTCAATATTCTTTAATACATTTTTATATACTTTTCTAATAATAAAGATAGCCCTTAGAACTGTTTTTAGCATTTTTCTATTTTAAATTCTAGATTACTTTAGAATATATCAATTAGAACCTGTCTGTAAAAAATCAAGTTAATCGGATATCGTTTACCTATTTATCCACTCACATTTGTATTTATTTTAATACTTTAAATCATAATTATTATCTATTTTTGTAAATACAAATGTGAGTGGATGAATAGGTAACGACATCCGATTAACTTAATTTTTTGCTGGCATGTTCTATTTGATGTATTCTAAAATGTAAATAGTTTAAATTATCAAAATGAGCTCTAAAATGAGCCCATTTCACCACACAGCAGCCGTTGCTGTTCAACCCGCTCAACAACATCCCCACTTCCCTAATGATGTATCATTGTTGTTTTACTTCTTTTTTTTTTTTTTTTTTTGTTATATATTTTAAAGTTAAAGTTAAGTTAGCCAACCCTTTTCAATGCTCATAATTAGAAATAACAACTACAATTATGTAAAGCCAAAAAAATTCTAAAAGTCAGATATGTCAAAGACAAAAAGAGACAGGATGGGATTCTTGTAGGCCCATAGCCAACTATTTATTTATTTATTGTTCTCCTTAACGGCTTCCACAAATTCATACTTATATACATATTCATTTGAATGATGGATGAGGTAAAATTCCTGTTCTTCAAATTGAATGAAAAGCTCTAGTTAAAAATGTATATATATATATATATATATGTATATATATGAAAAGCTTTCATAACAAAAGCAAAAGATGAAAAAGGATAAAAAAAAAAAAAATTAAATAAATAAGTACAATAAACGAACTTTTGTTACTTTGCCTTTATAGTTTATTTTGTTACTTTGTTTTTATAGTTTATTTATTTATTTATTTATTTGTCTTTTTGCTACCTACAATTACAAACTAAACTACAAACATCAAGCCAAAAAATGATAAAGTCAGCTGTCAAGACAGACTGGATGCGATTCTTAGCAGCTTCCACAAATTCATACTTTTATTATAATATATATATATATATATATATCTTAATGATTGGGAAGAAGAAAATTACATTTCTATGCTTTAATTTGCCATCAGCACCATTTGAATAATGAATGAAGTAAAGATATGCTTAAAAAAATTAAAAAAAAAGTAGATTTTACTTTAAAAAAATTAATGGGTCATCGAGATTCATTCTTAATATGAGTTCACAAAATATCAATTAAATCTCAACTTTACATTTATTTTCTAAAAAGATTTTCGAACAATAAGTTTGGGTCAGTAGACATCCTATTTATTACCTTGTGATGTGAAAAAACAAGAGTGATGATATTTGCATTCTGTTTTAAAGAAGAAAAGAAAAAAGAATTGAGAGAGACTAAAAGGGGAGAAAAAAAAAAGGGAGAGCAAAAAATATAAATAAAGAAATTTTGGTGTGATGGTTTTATATGTTGAAGTAAAGAAGATTTCTTTTTTTAGGACCACACGATTGTCACTTTCACAGTTCTCACTAAAATTAATAAACAACTAAGAAAACATCATTCAAAGTATAATTTACTCTTTTTCATTTCACTTTTTCTTTTTCTTTTTTCTTTTTGTTTTTTTTACAATCATTTGACAAACTTTTTCCCAAAAAATATTTGAGTAAATAGTTCTTTACGAACTCACTTTTTAAAGTCTGGTTTGTTAACGTTTTTAATTTTTAGTCTAGAAAAAATAAGAAATAAGTTTTCGTTTATTTTATAAAAAAAAAAAAAAACTAGAAAATTTATTTGGTGTATAAAAATATTTTGAAAACAAATAAAAATAAAAACAGAGGAATATATTTGATGAATTGCCAGATTTAGTAGTCGGATATGGAGAGTGGACGGATGTGGTGACCGATAGTTATGGGTAGCCAAAGGTATTTGCTGGAGCTAGTAGTTAAATGTCGTCGGAAGACACGAGGTGGCTAGGACACCAAAAAGTGACCGAAGGTCTGTGGTGACCTCCTACTAGCCAGAGAGTTGTTGGAGGTTGGCCGGGGCTCGACACCCACCGACGGTCAGGGGTGGTCGGTGGCTGGTGGTGGTGGCCAAAGGTGGTGGGTGAAAAGAGAAAGTGAAAACTTGTTTTAAAAACAAGTGAAAAACAAGTAAAAATCATACAAAACATGGGGGTGGAATAGCCTCTGATGAATTATCTGTGGGATATCACTTATCTTTGGGGTGGGAATAAAATAAAAAAAAACATAGGAATCAGATTATCTTCCGTCCATGTAGTGGATTAGATCGTGTTGTTCAGGTTTATAAGGTCCACAACGAGTCCTGTTTAAATAATCTAAATCGTTTAATGTATAGAACTCGTCGAGTGTATTATGAGTGCAAAAAATATGTTGATCGGATATTGATAGTTACTTGATCAGATCATAATTCTGTCAATAAATTTTTTTGAAATCATATTTACTGTTGAAAAAAATATGATTTGATCAAGTGTTTATTGATATCTAGGGATTGCAACAGGCCGGGGTGGAGTCAAGGATCACACTCTTCGCCCTTGATCCCCGGTAGTGAAAATTTCACCGTCTCCAGCCCCGATCCCTAAAGGGAAACCTATCACCGTCCCCGTCTCCGCCGCCTAACAGGGATCGGGTTTCCCTGACCTCGAACATTTTCCGGCCCCAAAAAAAAAAAAAAATAGTAGCAACAACAACGACAGATCAAGATCATTGGAAGCCGATTTCACCTCCAAAATCAACAGGGATGGTTCGGAGCTATCTTAATCGTCTCCGTCTTCGTATTTCCATCTCCAATAATCTCGTCTTTGTCTTTTTTGGAGCTATAAGAATCGAGAACAGGGTTGAAGGACTTGAAAGGGAGGGAATTGAAACGAGTGGATCGAGGGGAAGAGCCGACGACGAAAGAGTGGGAGCAGTGGAGGATGATCTAGAGGTCGTCTTCGAAAGAGAGAGTAAGGAAGATGAAGATGAAGAACAAGGTTGAGGGTCAAATACATCATTAGAGAGAGAGAGAGAGAGAGAGAAGGAAGAGATAGCTGATGAAAAGCGGAGCCCTAAGTATATATATACGAGGATTGTTTAGGAAACATTTGGGGCGGGGTGGGGCCAGGGCCGAGGAACCTATCATCGTCCCCAGTCCGAAAACCATCGGGGATCCATTTTTCAATACCATTCTCGGCCTTATGAGGGGTAATTTTCGAGGAAAACCCAGCTTATCGGGATGGGGTGGTCCAGGTCCCCGTCGAACCGAGTTCAAATTGTCATTCCTATCAATATCTGATTAATGTGATTTTTTGTAGAGATAAAGTACTCGGCGATGTCTTCGAATCATCGAAACAAGACCCTTGGTGAGCTCTCACGGGCCCAATAACACGCAAACTACAGAGAAGGCTGACCCAAAAATATATATATACAAATACATTTCTCATTTTGGTCATTGGCCACATCACAACAGATAAAGTTACTAAAGTTGTTCACCATTATGAATGATCAACAATGATACATCCCTTTAAAATTAGAGCTCTAATTGGCTCTAGTGAGGTGAAAAAAAAAAAAAAAAAACCCAAAATATCACATCAGATGGTCCGCACATATATATTAGAGCTATTAAAGCTCACAAATTAGAATTTCAAAACATTTTTGTTTTTTAACGACACAAAAATTCAGGAAAAATTATTATATATTACAGAAGTGGTACGCGATATTATTTATGTGATAATTATAGTTGAGATCGTTTTTTATCTCCTAATAAATTAACAAATGTGAGTTAGACATGTCATACTTGTAAAATTTTCAACTATGCCATTGGTTTAGAACATAATTGTGTTGTTTGGTGCAGTTTATACGGCTATTAATAGCTTTTATTATTATTATTCTAGAAGTTTGTGCTTAATTGTTTGGTGTAACTTATACTTTTAATTTATGAGGTAAAAATAGTTTCAATAAATAAATAAATAAATAACTAATTATCTAAAAGTTAGAAAATAGTGTTTTTAGCTTCTATTTATGATTATCAACTTATAGTTTAGAAAAAAAATGCACCAAATAGACCCAAGGATCCTCTAGAGTGATTTTTTCAATAGTGATCTTAGAGAATTTTTATTTATTTATTTATTTATTTATTTATTTTTTGTAGTCTTAACTTAGTATTATTGTACAATCAACATTTATAGAATAAAATCTCAACCATATAAAAAAAACAATATAAAATCATTCAAGAAAAATCACTCCAAGATCACTATAAAGCTTGTTTGGTGCACATTTTTATAAGTTGAAAGCAAATAATCATAAAATAGAAGTCAAAAGTATCACTCTGCCAACTTTCATATAATCAGTTTTTTCAACTTGTTTAAACTATTTATTCTTAATAACTTAAAAACAAAAATTATACCAAATAGTCTTATACAAATCTTTAGAATAAAAAAATACATATCATAATCGGTTCACATACATATCATACCAAACCATGTGGAACAGAACAGAGAAAACAGAGCATTTAGCAAAACAAATGTAGACACAAACAATTAAAAAAACACACACAAAAAGGTGAAAAACAAACTGACCTGGAAGGTCACATGAGACAGCAAGGCCGTTCTGACGAAGGAGGTTTTGGCTTTTGGCACCGACGCATGAACCATACATGACAACGATTCCCACTGGTTCAGACTCAGTGAGTCACCCACAAACATTATGTTCTTTCCTCTCCACCTTCTCAGAAACTCATTCCCATCAAACCTTCATCAACATCAACAAACACAAATAAATAACAGATCCAAAAATATACTATATATAGAAAATTGATTACCAAACTAATAAAGTTCAAATTAATATTGTGTAATTTTTTTTTTTGATTTTCACTTGCACTCATTAATTTGATAAGAAAATGTATACCCAGTTTAGTTTTAATTAAATGAGATCTCAAAATAGTAGATTGAGTGTATACTTTAAATTTGTCACATAATTTTGATTCTCAAAAGGCTATAACAATACTATATTTTTCTCCAATATTTATGTTGACTAATGCTGTGTTTGGTTGATGGATTTGAGGAGGGATTTAGAAATGGAAAGGGAAAATGTGTGTGAAATTATGTGAAATATAGGCATGATTTATTCACATTTCACCTACCTTTTCCATTTCCCTTTCCAAATCCCTTCCCAAATCCCCTAACCAAACACAGCATAATTGTTACTATAGGGATTCAAAAATAAAATCACTAAACCAAATATTACTATCAACTAAACTACCCACCATCTTTTTGTACACTAGTGTACACTTTTAATTTGATATAATTTGCACAAAGTGACTGTTTGTAAGTTCAAACCACCCTCAATAACCCTCAATAGATTGAATTTTAACCACTGAACTTATATTCCTTTATAATTTGTAAGATTTCAAATTAAATGTAAATTCATTAGCTTTATGCCATGTCCATTTTACTGTAAAAATTGTCAACAAACAACAAAAAAGGGGAGAAAAAAAAAGAAAAAAAGTAAATGAAGTTTTTACTCATCTCAATACATTGTAATCCAAATTACTTGAAATTGTTTTGAGTTCAGTATTTTGAATGAAATTTCAAACCAAAACATTGATTTTGAATATGTATATATATCAGCATTTGCAGACACAGATATACATATATATATATATATATATAGAGAGAGAGAAGAGAGAGAGAGAGAGAGAGAGAGAGAGAGAGAGGGGGTACCTGGGTAAGTTACAGGAGTCAGGTTTCCAAGAGTACTTGAGATACCCATTATCAGGGCGACCATATTTTTGGCAATTGAATTCAGGATCTATGAAAGGACAGCTTGAGGAATCATAGAGTGGATAAGAAGAATCAAAAACCCATTTCCCTTGAAACAAATTACACCCATTTGCTGCTAATAACTCTCTACCTCTCAAATTGCTCACATTGTAGACTTGCTCTGTTCTTGCCTCTTGCAAAGACAAAGAAACAAACAGAGCTTGAAGAAACAATGTTAACAGAGCTTGGTACCAAAAACCCATCTAGGATTTTGGTAGACAAAGGTCAAGAGAAGGACGACTAGTCCACAAAAGTTGTCTGAAGAGAGTCTGTGAGGTGAGGTAATTTATATGCATTTGAGATTTATTTATTTATTTTTGGGTGAGGTGGGGATTCACATGGCAAGTGTTGGTTTTTTTATTTTTTATTTTTTTATAATTATTTTATTTGTGACAGTGAAATGAGTTGGGAAATCTTGATGGAATCAAGTAGTAACTCTATGGTGTTGATGTGAGGGGATGGGTTTGTTTGTGTTTCTTTTGTTCTCTAGGGGAGTGGTATGCCTTTGGCACCGTTGGGAAGTGATTTTGTGGGTTTTTTTGGGCTATTTTTTGTATAAAAGACAAAATAGATTATTTTAACCACAACAAACAAAACATCACATCTAATCTATAATTATTACACTCTTCTTTCACAAAAAAGTCTAAAAAGTCAAAAAGTTCTTCCCAAACTAAACTTTTTAGTCCAGGCTAAAATAGTCAAAAAAGTTAAAAAGCCAAAAAGCCAACCTACTTCCCTAACCAACCCAAAAGCGCATATGCATTATAAACTATGAGATTGTTTGAGGAGTGTTAGATTAATATATATTTTGATTTTTTATGAAAAAATGTAAAATATGAGTCCGAGTCAGAGTCAGAGTCAGAGTTGGAATTGAAGTGATGTAGTACAGATGTGATGTGATCTAAATAAGATGAATATGATCCAAATATGATGATGTGCTAAAATAACATGTACTAATATGAAACCAAAATAAGAGATAATGTGAATCAAATAAGATGATTATGACCCAAATAAAATAATGTGTAAATAACTTTTGTTTTGAATTTTAAAAATAATTTTTTTTTTCCTTCAAGTTTTATGATCTTTAATCCGGTATATACCAAAAAAACACTGTAAACTTTCATAAACTAAAAATTAATTTGACTTACAACAAAAAGTCATAGAAGTCTTATAAGTAACTACCACAAAACTTTCATAATCGTATTAATCACATATTTAACCAAAAACGTTATAATGTGCACTTTAAAAATCGTATATGGAAAGTTTTTCGTTCTGTATTGTATACTGTATATAATTTTATTATAAATTTTCACAACACGAATTTATATTTAACTTACAAATTTATGTAGTTTTATAGTAGGTTGTATACAGTGTGCATTACATACCTGAGTATTTTTCATAATATATATATATATATAGTATGCATTATACAAAAAATATAACTTTTATCATAAAAATTATAATTTATTGTTTATTACAAAAAAGCAATTTTTTTTACTTATTACAAAAAGTATAACATTTACCAAAAAAAATATAATTTTATTATTCATAGCTTAGGCACATCATAATTTTACCATTCATAATTTTGTTCCATCACAAAAATTATAACTTTTCTTATGATACATGAGCCCTTTATAATTTATTGTTTATTACAAAAAAGCAATTTTTTTTTTACTTATTACAAAAAGTATAACATTTACCAAAAAAAATATAATTTTATTATTCATAGCTTAGGCACATCATAATTTTACCATTCATAATTTTGTTCCATCACAAAAATTATAACTTTTCTTATGATACATGAGCCCTGTTTGGTGGAGCTTTTTTTAAATTAAAAGCTGATAATTAGAAAGTGAAAGTTAAAAGCACCCCTATCTCAGCTTTTAAATAATCAACTTATTTAAGTTATTTCTATTTAATAAGCTATAAGCAGAAGCTTTATTAAACAGATTGGCATAGACTCTCAAATTAAAATAAGTTAAAATCACCTCCAAAAGTTGTAACAAAAAGTCCCATGTTCTTTTAAGAACACACATTATAGTATTTCCCAATTTGAATACCACAAAAGCTCATATTCAAAAGCAACAAATATTTATATGAAAGTTAATGTTTTTTATAGAATTTAAAATTAGATTAATCTGATAATGATATTTTTATAATTATAAACCGTAGTGATTCGTCATTTTGAGTTCTATTATATAAAGAAGTTTTATATACCAATGATATATATAATATTAAAACTAATATTTATTCTTAATATTTTATTTTATTTCATTTTATTTTATTTTATATGTGGCATCTACTTGACACTCATGCCTTTAAAATATAGCACATCATAAGGGTCTCAAAATTGATCCATTATATTCACTTATTTATCATCAAATTATATTTTCTAGTTATGTAAAGTTAAACCAATAACGACAAATCTTACAACAATTATTCTGGAAATTTTCTTCCTAATCCAACTATCTATTAAATTAAGATAATTTATTTTTAATTTGAAAATTTTATATTTTGATTTTTAATTCTATTAATAGGTTCCATATGATACCTTCATTGTATAATTAATTTTTGTTTAAACATTTCATTAATTAATCAATTATATAACTATGTTAATAATTATTTATTTTAACTACGTTATAATATAATTATATATAAAATCATGGGAAAATTACAAAAAAATCTTAGAATTTGACCCTTATAACAAATTAAACCTTGAATTTTTAATTTTATTAATTTAAATCCTAAACTTTTGATTTATTTTCAATCTAAACCGTTTGCTTATTTTCGTTATATAAAATCGACAAAAAATGGTCTTTTAGTCATTAAACTCAATGAAAATTGATATTTTAGACATTTAATGTATATTTATATTGAGTTTAATGACTAAAATATTTTTTCCTGTCAATTTTACATAAAAATAGATGAATGTTTTAAATTGAAAACAAATAAAAAGATTGATGTTTAAATTGATAAAAATTTAAAAATTATGATTTATTTTGTTACAAAACTCAAAATCTAATTTTTTTTTTAATTGACCCTAAAATGATCATACAATTATGCTTTCCATAACATAATGCCTAAGAATTTTTTTTGAATTATATATATCGCAATATATTTTCTAATCAGCTTTTTAAAATATATATTATTTTTTTTTTTACATAGTTTCGCTTTCAGAATATCTCTAATTGAAAATAAATAAAAAAAATGTACGTGATTAGAATTATTCTTTAAATTAAATTATTAATTATTTTATAATTTAATCATTATTTCTGTGATCGAAATAAATATTTATTTTACTGTGTTATAATTTAACATCATAAATATATTTTTAAATTGTACTTTTATTGAATTGCGATAGTCACATCATACTTTTTAAAATAATTTTATATGTCTAAACACCTATATACACATAAATAATTTAATTAAAATTATCATATTTAAATTATACCATTATAATATGATAACATTGAGATTATTCTCATGCATTACATATGCTACGACATACCTTTTAAAATAATTATATATTTATATGTACAAATAGGCACACACATAAATAATTTTAATTGAAATTATTGTTGGAAAATTTGAATTTAATTTACTTCAATGGTTGTGTCTCTTGAAATGAAAGGGTGTGTCCTTTTGAAGGATCACAACCTTTTTGAAGAGTCACTTAGTAGTCTTTATATTCCATGTCCCTCACTTCATTTTCATTATATTTTCCTTATAGTTTGATACTATTTTTTCTAACAATTATGACATATATAAATTTAAGTTATATTTTTATGGCACAAAGTACTAAGATTATTTTCGTGTATTGCATACATTATAATATACTTTTTTAAAATAATATATATTCATATATATATATATAAATAATTTAATTAAATTTTTTGAAACATTATTTTAATTTTATTTTTTGCACAGTAAGTTTCGTTTGTACCCTATCCATAATCTAAACTGAAGGTACAACAACCAAAAGGGTCCACAGCGAACAAAAAGGGAAGGACATGCGATAGATGTTTAATATAAGGGCAAATTACATATATCCCACGCAGTGTAGCAAAATTATAGATACTCCCTTAAAGTTTGAGAAATTATAGATACCTTCTTGAAAGTACTATTTGCATAATAAATTAAGGGGTAAATTGTTATAAAAATATAAATCTCAGGGGGTAATTTATTATGAAAATATAAATCTCAGGGAGGTATCTGTAATTTCCAAAACCTCAAGAGATATCTGTAATTTAGTTAAACCTCAAGAGAGGTATATGTAATTTGCCCTTAATATAATTAATGAGATGTGTATTGTAGTTTAGCTTGCAAATTTTGGGCTGTGGAGTTCATCAATGGGAGGTGTGAAACATGTTTCATGCAATTAATAATTAATGCCAATGATGCGAAATTTTATAATACATATCTTAAAAAAATATATATCATATGTTCAATTATAATTTTTTATAGTTTCAAAGTGGTTGTTATGCGTGAAACAAAGCAGTCATTGTTGTGTGCAAAGTGGAAATCATTTCGGATCTTATTTTAATAATTTGAATTTTTTACTTTTTAAGGTATGTCGTGTAAAATATAGTCGGAAAAATTCATATTATCGGATATTGTTAGCTATTTTATCAAATTGCATTTGTATTTACTTTTATGTTTAAATTGCCACTGACCATTCATTTTTTTTTGGATATAAATGTATTTTGATGAAATGACTATCAATATTTGATAAATTTGATTTTTCTGCATATATGATCTACACAATGTACTTTAAGAAAATTGTTGGTTGTATAATTTGTAAAAGCCAATCACAATTCAACATGTGGCATAAAGAGGGCAATTTAGGGAGTTAATATAAGTTGTCAACCAAAGTCAGACACGTGTTAGCCCGTATTGATAATAATCGATCTGCGTAGTAGTGGAACAATCGAGGAATATAGAGTGATGTGGCCTAATAGTTACTCACAAAGTTCAAATTCAAAATCAGGAGGGAAGCCTAACTGCAAAGGTGGCATAGTATGACTGACTGTGAGAGAGCATGTTCAGCAATCATGGAAGGACATTCGATGGTTAGAAGCCCACTTCGACGGTTGTCATTGAGAAGTATAAATAGTAGAGAAGGCCCCAGAATGAAGGATCCAAACTCAGATAAAAAAACAAGTTTTATTTACTTTGTTTTCCCTTCCAATTTTTACAGTTCTTTATATTTTTGTACTTCAAATTCCTGTACTACACTTCATTCATAGGAGTAGTTTCAAATAGCTTGTTGTTGTAAACCTCTATGAA